GAGCTGGTCTAATGGTGCATGCTGGGCGCGAGACCTCGGCGCTTGGGTGAATTGCGAGAGGGTGCGTGTGTGTGTCTGTGTCGTCCGGGCCCCCGCCTCCTGCCCCCAGCCCTTCTTTCGGGCCTGCGCCCCCTGCCCCCCATTTCCTGTCCCCAACCTGTCTGTGCCCCACAACCCCTTCTGTCCCTGCGCCCCTCTTTCCATTTCCTGTCCCAAACCTGACTTGGGTCTGTCCCCAGCCTGTCTGGGTCTCTGTGGGCCTCCCCCCACTTCCTGTCCTCAGCCTGTCTTTCGGACTTGCACTCCCCTTTCCACTTCCTGTCCCCGGCCTGTCCTTTAGGCCTGTGTCTCCCGCCCCCTTTCCTGTCCTTTGAGCCCCACGGCACCCCCACTTCTGTCCTCAGCCTGTGTTTTGGACCTCCGTGTGCTGCCCCAGCCCCCTTTCCTGGCAGAAGCCTGACTTGGGCCTGTCCCCAGCCTGACTGTGAGGCCCCGTCTTTTGGGCACATGCCTCCCCCGCCCCCCACTTCTGTGCCCAGCCTGTCTTGGGGCTATGCCCCCTCTCCACTTCCTGTCCCCAGCCTGTCTGGGTCACCGGGCTGTGGGCGCCCCCCCACACACACTTCTTGTCCCCAGGCAGGCTGTGCTCCTGCCCCCCTGGCTTTTTGGGGGCGGAGTGCCCCCTGCTGTGTGGGGAAATGCAGCATGGTTGTGCAGTCGGTCGAGAGGTTCCCCTGCCGGCCCGGCGAGGGGGCGTCCGTGGCTGGCACCTGGCCCCAGCGCCCCCCGCTGGCCGTGCGCCCGCGGCCCAGGAGGCCTTCAGAGACGCAGGTAACGCAGCGCCCCCTGGAGGAGGGCAGGAGAGCCTTCAGAGCCGGCCGCTCCTGCCCTCCCAGCACCAGCCAGGCGCCCCGGGGGCAGAGGAGAGCTGCGTGAGTGTGTGTGCGCGCGTCCGTCTGTCCGTCGCCCTTCGCGTCTGTGCTGATTGCAGCGGGGGGCCGGGGGGAGGAGCCGCCCGCTCCGGCGCTGGGAGCAGCCAGATTCATTTCCCCTCTGATTTCGAAGGCCATCGCCGGGCTGAACGGCATGCAACTGGGTGACAAGAAACTGCTGGTGCAGAGAGCCAGCGTCGGAGCCAAGAACGCCACGCTGGTGAGTGTGGGGTGGGAGCCGGGACTCCTGGGTTCTCTCCCCAGCTCTGGGAGGGGAGTGGGCTCTAGTGGTTAGAGCAGGGGAGCTGGGAGCCAGGACTCCTGGGTTCTCTCCCCAGCTCTGGGAGGGGAGTGGGGTCTAGTGGTTAGAGCCAGGACTCCTGGGTTCTCTCCCCGGCTCTAGGAGTGGAGTGGGCTCTAGTGGTTAGAGCAGGGGGGCTGGGAGCCAGGACTCCTGGGTTCTCTCCTCGTCTCTGGGAGGGGAGTGGGTTAGAGCAAGCGGGTTTGGTATTCCAGGCTAGCTCGGCCCTTTGGTCTGGTCTAGTTGAGCAATTCCCATGCTCCTAGAACGGGTGGGGCAGTTTTCCTTGCAAAACTTGCCTTTTCTCTCCCCCCCCCCCCCAAAAAAAACAGAAAACTTGTTGCTTTTTCTCCCACGTTATTTTGGGGAGCCCGGGCCGTTTCCGGGAGGTCCCATTGGGTATCTTACTGGAGAGGCTGGGCGGGGGGTGATTTCAAGTGGTTAAGATGGGGGAGCCCTGCTTATCCTCCCCAAAGGGCAATGGGCTCAGGCTCTCGGCAAACCTAGGCAGTGTTAATTGGCTCGGGGGAGCTCCCCTTCTTCCAGCGACGGGCTCAGGCTCTCGGCA